CGTGGATAATATGATACCACGAGCAGGAGACATTTTGAGATAACGCACAACTCGAAGAGCAGCGTGCCAATGTGTGTCACGTGGTGCGGACATGAATTGAGAAAGAAGATTGACTGCATAAGTGATATCTGGTCGAGTGACCGTAAGGTAGAGCAGACGACCAATCAATCTTCTATATATGGAGGGGTCAGTAAGAGGTTCACCAGTATCAGGAGTGAGTTGGTGGTTAACCTCTATGGGAGTTGAGGCGGGTTTGCAAGCTAATAGGCCAGTATCGGAGAGAATCTCAAGAGTATACTTCCGTTGATTTAGGAAGATTCCAAGAGAGGATCGTGCAACTTCTATTCCAAGGAAGTATTTTAATGGACCCAAGTCTTTGAGCTGGAATTGTTGTGCAAGGTAACGTTTGAGGATAGTAATGATAGTCGGATCATTCCCTGTAATTACAATATCATCAACATAAACAAGCAATATGGTTAGAAAATGACCTCGTCTATAAGTGAACATGGAATAATCTGCTTTAGATTGTGTGAAGCCAGCATTAGTGAGGGATGTGGAGAAAGTTGTGAACCAAGATCGGGATGCTTGTTTAAGCCCATAAAGAGATTTGTGGAGACGACAAACGCGATTCTCCCCCTTTCGCCCAAAACCGGGAGGGACCTGCATATAAACTTCTTCATGAAGAGTGCCATGAAGAAAGGCATTTGAGACATCAAGTTGATGGGTAGCCCATCTTTGTGCAGCTGCGATGCTTAGAACTGTACGAACGGTGACAAGCTTAGTGACAGGGGCAAAGACATCAGTGAAGTCCAACCCTTCAAGTTGAGAGTATCCTTTGGCGACTAGGCGAGCTTTGTATCGCTCTACAGAACCATCAGGGTTATATTTAATACGGTAAACCCATCGACAACCAATAGCAGACTTACCAGGTGGTAGAGTGGTTAAAGACCAAGTGTGATTGGCTTCTAGAGCACGAATTTCTTCTTCCATGGCTTGTTGCCATTTAGGGTCTTTTTGTGCAGCTGAGAAGGAAGAGGGTTCGATTTCTTTAGAAATGTTGTTTATGAAGCAGATGTGGTCTTCAGTGTATGGTTTAAAGTTGAGAAAGTTGGAGATGGGATATTTTGTGGATGTGGTCATGTTGCATTGGTAGTCAGAGAGGTAACTAGGAGGCTTTCGTTGCCTTTGAGATCGTTGTTGGATAGGTTGCACTTGCGTGGGGATGGGTGGGTTAAGCATAGGAGAATTAACCTCAGGTGGAGGATTTTCTGGTAAGGTAGGTATGTGAGGAGTGGCATTAGAATTCTTAGGAATAGGTGAAGTAGTTGGAGTACCATGTGCTTCAATGGGTGGTATGGGGTTTTCAGGAAGAGGTTTGGTAATTGGGGTATTGTGTGTTTCAATGGATGGTATGGGTAATGGCAATATAGGGGTGAGTGTTGATTGATCAAATAAATTAGGATCATTTTTAAAAGGAAAAATAGTTTCATAGAAGACAACATCGCGACTTACCAAAATTTTCTGAGAGTCAAGATCATATAACCTGTAAGCTTTTTGACCTTGAGGGTAGCCAAGAAAAATGCAACGCTTGGCCCTAGGATTGAACTTATTAGGATGATATTGTATAGTAGAAGCATAACACAAGCAACCAAAAGTACGTAAAATGGTGAAATCAGGAGAACAACCAAAAAGAATTTCAAAAGGAGTTTTATTTTGTAAGTTTGGGGTAGGGGTACGGTTGATAATGTAAGTAGCGGTTAAAACACAATCACCCCAAAATTTGAGGGTAGGCCCGCTTGGAAGCGTAAAGCACGTGCCACATTAAGGAGATGGCGATGCTTGCGTTCGACAACCCCATTTTGTTGAGGTGTCCCAGGACAACTAAGTTGTTGTAAAATACCATTTTGAAGTAAGATGTTTTGAAAATCAGTTTGTGTAAATTCAGAGCCATTGTCACAACGAAAAGTTTTAACACATGTGTTGAAATGGTTTTTTACATATGATAAAAAACGAACAAGTAATAAGAAAGCATCAGATTTATATTTCATTAAAAATGTCCATGTTGCCCTAGAAAAATCATCAACGATAGTTAAGAAATAATGATGTCCAGTACGAGTTGGAGTAGAATATTTACCCCAAATATCAACATGAATCAAATCAAAGCAAGCAGAAGTAGAAGTATGACTAATAGGAAAAGATAAACGTGTCTGTTTGGAAATGTGACAAACATCACAAGGATCTTGAAAATCAGAACAACCCAAAATAGAAATTAAGTGTTTAAAAACAGAATGTGATGGATGACCAAATCTAGCATGCCATGTATTAGGTGTAATGGTGAGTAATGCAGCGGGGTGTGGTGGAGAACTAAAAAAGTATAAACCATTGCGTTCATGGCCCCGACCAATCTCCGTCTTCGTTGAAAGGTCCTGAAACACACAATAATTAGGGAAAAAAATAACGGTACAATTGGAATCTTTAGCCAATTTTTGTACAGATAATAAGTTAAATTTAAAAGTCGGGACATATAAAACATCAAGTAAAACAACAGTCGAAGATAGGCGAGCATTACCAACACCATAGACCGGAATAGTAACACCATTTGGAACAGATATATTAGTCACCATATTATTAGGCATAGATAAATTATTTAAAATAGATGGGTTAAAACAGACATGATCAGTAGCACCTGTGTCAATGACCCATTCATTGGAAAAATTAAAAATAGAAGTTAGAGCAATAGACTTACCAACAAGGTTTGCTTTAGGCTCTTTTACCTCTCGTAAAAGTCGAAGTAATTGCTGAATGGAATCGGAAGAGATCTCTGACGAAGTTGATGGTGTCCCCATAGGTTGGCTATTTGTATTACCTTTTTTTGTAAAATTTGTGTCCAGGGGGATATCCATGCAGCTTGTAACAAGATTGTTGTGTATGGCCAGGGATCCCACAGTGTGCACACTTTGTCCGAGATCGATTGTTGTTAGAACGAGAAGTGGAAGCAGATGTATGGATATTGCTCGCAGATGATAGGTTGGCAGCAGCAACAAATTGTGGATGTTGTGTGTTTGTAGCTTGAAGAGCAGAATGTTCTGTAGAATGGCCACCATTACCACTTTGTATACGTTGGGATTCATCCTGTAGTAGTAAGTTGTATGCATTTTTCACAGTGGGAAGAGTGTTGTTGAGCAGCAATTGACTCCGTGGTTGAGCAAAAGTTTCTCGAAGTCCCATGAGAAACTGCATCAACCGGCGGCGTTCAATTTGTGCAATGTAGTCATGTCGAGCAGAGCATGAACATTTAGGAGGAGGATCTAACAGATTTAATTCATCCCACAGGGCACTCAACTGATTGTGGTAATCTGCAATGGACGCATCTTTTTGGTAACAAGTTGCAATGCGTTTCTCAATATCATAGATACGAGGTCCATTTGATGTAAAGAAACGATCTTTTAAATCTGTCCAAACTGAGGCAGCATCTGGGGCATATAAAACTGTGTGTGAAAGGGATGGATGTATAGAATTAAGGAGCCAAGACATCACCATATTGTTTACGCGGTGCCAACGAGCATGATCGGGATGGGTAGAGTCTGGCATAGGAAGGGAGCCATCAACAAAACAAAATTTATTGCGGCCTTTCAATGCCATCGTGATTGCCCGAGCCCATGGATTGTAGTTTTCAATGCCGGTAAGAATGTTTCCAACGAGAGTGGCGCCTGTACCATCAGAAGAATGTAGATAATAGGGATTCTCCGCATCAAAAGGAACAACATGGTGTTGTGATTGCTTAGCAGAGGTTGAGTCTTCATGAGTATTAATGGTGGTGATGGGATTTGTGTGTTGGTTTGAAGAATCTGAAGGAGTGGTCATTGGCGTGAAGTGATGAGGCCAAAAGAGAGCAGCAGAAAAACAAATTATTAGGGAAAAAAAATTCTACTGATACCATGTAAGGAATTGAGAATAAACTGCAAGCATTGTTGCAGAGAAATATGAAAAATATATATTGCATATAAGTTGTGTATTGAAAGAAGAATACAATGTGTGTATATATATACAACTAAGCTAACGGTAGGAAAAGTGAGAAAGGTAAGAGAACCAATCATCTAGGAATTTACCTAAACTATGATCCTAAGAATATGGAAATAATTATGAATACATATATAAAATATTCTAGAAGATATATGTAATATAAATATAGATATTATTTTTCTTCACTAACAGAGATTTTGTGAATCTAACTCTATATATGATGTGTATCCAAGTATATTGTAATGCTTAAATTTGATATTTTTCCACTTCCTCAATTAAAGATTTTGAGTATTAAGTTGATAAAAAAAATTATATTGATCTCACTTTTCTTTTGTCTTTATTAATTTATATTGTAGCAAACATGGAATTTGAGGATGGAATGACAAGAACAACTTTATGCATTTTTATTATTATTGCTGTTTCATGTTAAATTGTTGTAATATTATCAAACTTTTTTAAGTTGTAACAATTACTTTATTTCACAATTCTGATTTTGCATCAATATTCTTTATTTATTTGTTCAAACTATTCTATCCATCCACATCCAAAATAACTTATTATTATTTCAATTCGACTTTTGAGTACCAAAATTTACAATAGAAAATTTTGGATTCGGTCTTAAGTACCAAAATTCACAATAAAAAATTTCGAGTTCAGCCTTTGAGTATCAAAATTTACAATAGAAAATTTCGAGTGCCCAAAATTAACCAACCCGACTAATGCCCACCCCTATAAGCAGTCAACGCTAACAACCAGTATTTGGGAGTGAGAATTATGTTCAAAGTGGACAGATTCCTTGTGCGCACTAGCATTTGATTCTGTCTGTTGAATCATTGAGTCACAGTAATTTACATATTCTCACAATATTCTGTCGAGTCGGAGTGTGGGACCCTTAGAGTTGGGACTCAACCTTTTGGGAGAAGTCAACGCTAACAAGACCAGAGGATGGAAGAGTTCTGGATTTTCTCCAGTTGCCGGTTACTCATCCCAGCTGAAAGCGAATATGCAATCTCCACCCTTCCTTTTTTAGATGCCCACCGCAAAATTCTCGCACCCGTTTGATGAATTCCTCTTTTAGAGTTCCGCCGTGTGTCTCCCCGTAGTCCCGTCCGACATGGCATTCAACTCCTTCTGAAATCCGGATTTCAAGTCCGCACTATAAATTACAGTCCCTCAAGAACCACCCATCTCACCGACGGCACCCCGACACTGAAGTTTGGAGTGTCAAAATTAAAAACGTTAGAAAAGGGAACTCTTTTGAGGAAAGAAAACAAGACTAGTGATTCAGTGTATGTCTTGCAGAGCTCTGTAATCTCCGAATTTAGCTCTTAAAATCGCTGCAGGTTCTTAAATTTTACTTGTGTTTTGCGTAAATTTCCTGCCTTTTCGTTTCTCCGGTTAAATTTTCTTCCTTTTGTGCGAGAATTAGATAAAAGATGGGATCTTTGCGGCTTAGGGTTTCGTAATTTTACAAGTTTTATTGTAATTCATGTGTTCTTTCTGCTGTCTCTTTAGGTTATCTTTATTCTTGTTTCGTTTGATTTTTCGGACTTGATGCGTATATCTTTCTGGTTTTTCTCCTACCCATTGTTTGGCTGCACCTATCGTTAGAAACACTAGTAATTTAGTTGTTTATTCTCTGTTTGTTACTTAATTTTATATGCAGCTAATTTTGTTACTGATGAAAGGATTTTTCTTTGGTGCATTGCTTCAACTGCCATAAGTTATGGGAGAGGAAGATACTGTGTCTGAGTTGCCAGATGCCGCTGCAAATGGGAATGCACCCCTTGAGGGAAACAATGAGGCTGCTGAGGAGAAAAAAGAGGAGGAAAACAATGGTGTAAAGGACATGGAAGAGGATAGCAAGGAAGGTGATAAGGCGGAGGCTGAGAAAATGGATGTGGATACAAAAGAAGTGAAGGAAAGCAATGAACCTAAAGAAGATAAAATAGAAAAAGAAGAAGCAGAAGAGGAAGAAACTGGAGATGAGGGAAACAAAATGGAGGAAGAAAAGTTGGAGGCCAAGGATGAGCAAATGGAGGAAGACCAAGTGGGGGAAGAAGCAAGCAAGGAAAATGAAGATAATGTTGAAGAAGAGACAGATGGTTCGAAGGAGGTAGAAGAAAAGGAGTCTGAACAGCCTAAAGTGGAGAAAAAGGGGAAAAAGGGTGCTAAATCAAAAAGTGGTTCTGGAGAGAAAGGCAAAGAAAAAAAGAAAGAAGGGGAAGGGAAGAAGGAGAAGGAACCCAAAACTCCTGCAGCACCTACAATCGATCGTCCTGTCCGTGAACGAAAATCTGTGGAAAGGCTGGTAGCATCTATTGAGAAAGATTCTGTCAAGGAATTCCACATAGAAAAGGTGCTTTAATTTCTAGTATTGATTTTATTTATTTTTTCTTGTTTTTCTTTTTTCCTTTTTATTTTCATTATCTTAGCTCTGTGCAGTTAAATTTGATGTCCTATTGGAGAACTGAAACTTTAGGTCTGGTGTGCAGGGCCGTGGAACTGCACTGAAGGACATTCCAAATGGTATATCATGATACCATCCTACTGCTTCCATGTTTCTTTTCTAAGTATGCATTTTTGTGCATGTACATCCTTTCAGTAGGATATAAAACATTTCACTTATGCTGCTTGAGTGTAATTTGACCAGCATATTTGGTTCTCTCCAATGTGATAACATGATCTCTCTTGCAGTTGATGTCAGGGTGAGTGCAATCAATAAATATTATCTTTGGGCCCTTTGTTAGTTGTTACTAGGGACTAGGGAGTAGTTACTAGTTGGGATTGGATTATCGGTCTGACCCTTTGTTACTAGGGAGTAGGATGAATCTCTTGACTATGGGTTTTGAAGTTAGGGCAATAGATGAGCTTTCTGTAGGGAAATTGAAGTTTTATACTTTCTATAGTGGTTGAATATTGTGAGCAAATTTAAGTTGGACAATGTCAAATGACATGAACTGCATGTAAGTGATAGAGGAGTATTTGGCACTTGTATTTGTAGAAAAATAAAGTTCAACCTAACAAGGGAATACTCTCAAACTAGTGGCGGTAGATGGAGATTGAATTATGAAAGAAGGCTTAGTGGATTTAACCTCTACTCTTATTAGAATGTTCTTGGCACATTGCCTTGTATTTCTTCCTGGTTGTTTTTTTTTGTTTTTTTTTGTTTTTGTTTCTGTTTTTCTTCATGTTTTGGTTTTCTTTTTAATTTTGGTAGATTTTGGACAATATGGAAACATCTTGTACTCACCTTGCCTTTATATGCTATTCACTGATACTGTTCATAACTACTTACTGCTATTACGAAACAACATTTTCTGTTTCAGTGGCGTTCAAGTTATCCAGAAAGAAGAGTGATGACACCTTGAAATTGCTTCACACAATACTTTTTGGAAGGAGAGGAAAGGTGATATACTGAATATTAGCTCAGTTATCCTACATACTCTCTTGCTGTAATGTTGAATCCAGTTTTATAATCCATACTTGTACTTTTCTTTTTTCAGGCTGCTCAGATTAAGAGTAACATATTAAGGTTTTCTGGCTTTGTGTGGCATGAAAATGAGGTAATGAAAGATCCATTCAGCAAAGTTTAATTTGCTTTATGGCATTCTATTTTCATTTTACTGAGCAGTTGTGTATTTAATATGGTTTAGTTGCTTGTTCTCTGTTAATTTCTTCTTTTTGATGGAGCAAGTGAACTGGTAAATAAAATTTCATTTTTATTATATCAGGACAAGCAAAAGATGAAGGTGAAAGAAAAACTTGACAAGTGTGTAAAAGAGAAGTTATTGGAATTTTGCGATGTACTTGATATACCTGTTACCAAGGCTACATCGAGGAAGGTTTGTTGATTCTGTCTTCTTTATGGTAATTTTAGAAACAGATTAGTAGATTATAATCATCCTTACTAAGTATATTTTGGTTGCAAGCTTGTTCTCTTTCTGATAAACGTTCATCTGAAACGATTTCTTGAAAATGGACTACTCGATGGAAACTAATCGATGATCTTAAGTCTTAAGTCTTGCATCATTTGTATCTGCAGGAAGATGTAATTGTAAAGTTGATGGACTTTTTGGAGGCTCCACAAGCTACAACTTCCGAGTTGCTTGCTGAGAAAGAACAGGTTCTTCCACTCAAGTTCTGCTGATTTAGTTAGGAACTTTTGGTTTCGTTTTGTTATTTCTTAAATACCTGCTTTCATGTCGTTTGTGTTGAGCAGGCAAGTAAGGGCAAACGTAAGAGGGTTAGCAATAAAAGTGGATCATCAGCATCTGGAAATGCGAAAGGCTCAGCTAAGGTACTTTTTGGTCCTTAATTGCATTCTACCAATACTTTGGTATATTCATAGTTCCTTCACGATAAAGGATATTGGCTTTACACTATGAGCTTATTCGATGTGTTTTCTGCAGAGACAGAGGACTTCATCTGCATCTAAAAAGGGTGAGAAGAAGAATACACATGAATCTGAAGATGGGTCGGAGGAAGAATCAGAAGAAGAACACGAAGAAACAAAAGCAAATGGTGGTCCTGACAAATCAGAAGATGAGATTTCAGAGCATGCTGAAAGCGACGAGAACAATGAATCTGAAGACGAGTCCGAGGAGGAAAAGAAAAAAGAAAAACGAAGTTCAAAGAAGTCAACATCAAAGAAGGAACCTAAAGATGAAGCTGAGGAGGAAAAGCCTAAACAAAAAGAGACTTCTAAGAAATCTTCGTCAAAGAAGGAATCTAAAGATGAATCTGAGGAGGAAAAGCCTAAACGAAAAGAGACTTCTAAGAAATCTTCGTCAAAGAAGGAATCTAAAGATGAATCGGAGGAGGAAAAGCCTAAACAAAAAGAAACTTCTAAGAAAACTTCGTCAAAGAAGGAACCTGCTGGAAAATCTAAGAAGAGTGTTGCAACTCCTAAAAAGACTCCTAGCAAAACATCAAGTCAATCTAAGGTTAGCGATGGCAATGATGAAAGTTCAAAAGTGTCCTCAAGGAAGAAAAACACTGAAGTTAAAAAAGTTAAGTCCTCAACTCCAAAGAAGTCTGCTTCCAAGGAAAGCACAGGTAAGAATTTTTATTAGTTTGGTATTTTACTTAGGATGATAAATTCTTGCAATTCTGTCCTTTTGCATACTGTATAACCACATAATTGTTATTCTATCTATTTTGGTTATCCTTCAGGGAAAAAAACTGTGAAAGGTAAAGAGCAACCCAAAGAGGAAAAATTAAAGCCAACTGATGATGAGCTGAAAGAAGCAATATGTGAAATCCTTAAAGAAGTTGATTTCAACACGGTGAGGTTTTGATATGATGAATCATTCTTAAAATGATGGGACAAAATGACACTTACAAGTGGTACTTGAAACCGTGGGAGTTGTATTCAAATTTGTTAAGAATAACACACATAAATATCTTATATCTATACAAACATAGGTTATTGATATAAAATTTTCATGAATACGTATTCAAGACAAATGTACATTATGTGTGGTTCGCATAATTTCAGATCATATATTTTTTATTTCATGAAAGGATTGATAGCGACGCTTCCCTGTTTCATATTGCAGGCCACATTCACCGATGTTGTAAAGCAATTGGGTATGTTCCTGTAACCCCTTTTATGTGCATCATTTTGTGTACAAGGATAAAGCTCAGTTACTCATTCCAAAGAGTAGCCATCGAAGTTCCCCATTAAAAAAAACCCAAAAAAAAAAAAAACAAAATTGCATTGATTATAAGAAAATGCTGCAAGCAAAAAGCGGGGGCAGTTGACATATTTGTCGTTTTGAATAATTGTATTTTTGTATGAAACATTGTGTGCAAAGTTTCTCCTTTTACATTTTCGTGTGCATTCTTGTTATGCAGCTAAGCAATTCAATACAGAACTTAAGGCAAGAAAAGCATCTATAAAGGAGATGATCCAGGATGAGCTTACGAGACTAGCAGAAGCAGACGAGGAAGATGAAGGCGGCGCTGTAAAAGATGATAGACAGCCTTCTAGCCAAGGTGTAGATACTACTTGAACAGAGTGGATATGTGCCTCCACACCCGTCATTTCTCATTTAGCTGTGCAATGTTGTCTGTCCATTCCTAAATTAAGCCAACTATAATTTCCTAATTGCTATTCCATTCACCTGTAAAAGACTAGGGGATTTGAGAGGTAGTAGTGCTTAAGCTGTGCTGCAAGGATTAAAGCTGCTTTCTCTGTAACAAAAATTTGTAGGATCTTGTTTACTAGCTGTGTTTTTCTTTCCTTTTCTTCCTTGGGATCTCTTGCTGCTGTATTTTCGCTGCAACATATACTCATATCCTGCAGTAGAGTAGAGAAAGGTGGCAAAGATACTGGTGATAATATTGTGTATTCCAGATTTTCTGCATTATGGCCCTCATTCATTTGCCAGCATGTGGAATGGTTGGTGAACTGTCCCTGCTTTTGAAGCCTCCAATGGTGTAATTAAGTAGTGATTTGTCTCAGCTCGGGATTAGGGTAGTTGGTTCGTTGCATGACTTAAAGGTCATGATTGGAGGTGGGAGTGTGGGGGTTTGAATTTTTCACTAGAAACATGTATGGGAAAAAGGCGTAAGGATGATGAAAGGTCTGAATTGGATTCTTTGTGTGCACATGAAGATGATGATGAAAGGTCTGAATTGGATTCTTTGTGTGCACATGAAGATTAGGATTGACCGGTGGGTTGATTGCTAAGTACTACCTCCGCAGTAGCTCTTGAGGCGGGGTCCTGTGGGCTTAAGATTTGTAGAAAAGTATTACATGTCTCATATAAGGCGGTCATACATAAGAGTTATTATTATTTTTTTTTTTAGAAATATTGTACAAGCATTATGAACATAAAATTACAAATTTACTATATTATATTTGTATATTTAGTAGATTGGATCAAACCGTTAAAGTGTCAAATAAGTTTTTGAACTACTTGAGATTGTACATTGATCTTTAAAAAGTTCTAATTTGACCTTCAATTTTTTTTTTTTTTTATTTTTAAAATGTGACCAACACTTTTATTATCTTTTGGTGGTAGAACGTTTCTTTCTCTTTTTTTATTTTTTATTTTTTATTTATTTATTTTTTTAAGTTTGAGAATAAATGTATTTAAAAATAAAAAAGAGAAAAAGTAGAATGGAGGATCAAATATAGATGTAGGTGTCTTTACACTACTTTTAATAAGTCTATTTAAACTTAGCTTAAAACTTGAGTTGAGATGAACTTCAATTTTAAAAACACCAATTGAACTGCAGCTAAACTTTGAACTTTGGACTGAACATCAAGTTTTAAGTTTGTAGAACTTGGCTCTGCTCAACTACACTTCTAGTATTTGATACATATGACAAAAAAAATGTCGTAATCTTATGAGATTTGTAAGTCTAAATGTATTATTCTATATATTGGTGAATTATATTTGTATTTGATTATTGTGTGGGAATTTGATTAATTTGTAGTTAGGTTGTCCTCAACCCAATCAATGTTTTGCAAGATGATGTGGAAATACAAAAAAATATTATTTTTTGTTTGAAATTCACTGTGGCTAGCAAACTTGTTACTTTTGCAAGTTTGTTAATGACAGCTTTTGCTGCCAATGGCAGAAACTGGGCCATTACGTCTTTTAAAAAAAAATTATTAATTATTTTATTATTATATTTATAATATAATATAAAAGTGAGACCATTTTTGTAAGTGAGAATATTATAGAGATATAGAGAAAATAGTGGAGAAATTACAAATTTGATAATGTGGAAGTGTGACGCATTTTTAAAAATGAGAGAGTTTTACAGGGATAAGGATAACCTTAGATCAATTAATCCACTTATAATTGGTTACAATACATATATATTTTTTAACAAAATAATGCTGTCAAAAAAACATTATAGAATTGATTTTAATAAAGAAAATATTTGTCAAGTACTTTGTGATTAGATGACATCACTATTACATTCGAGTCATATCTCAATTAAGGATGTTAGCATAATTATGTTGAACTGATAAACTATAAACACTAGCATAAATGTTTATTTTTAATGTATTAAAAATTCATTTAAAATATACTCTGCACCATTCTATTAAAAAAATCAAAATAAACCAAACAAATTAGATATTTCACCCTCCATTATGCAATATAATACCCCATTTTTTTAAAATAATTTTTTACAATTACGTGGTAGAAATAGAATGTATACCTTTTTATTCGTAATTACAAGTTTATTCGGTCTATTATGTACATAAAAACTTTATGCATTTTTAAAGGATAATACAATTTGCATAGTATATTTTGTATCAAATCTTTACTATTTTGTAATACAATTGGTCAATTCATGGTTTGATCAATCAATTTTAAAATAATTTAAGATTTGATTCAAAAAAATTGAATGAGGGTAGTTTTTTTTTTTTTTTTGTTCTGCATTTCCACCAAGCATGGTGGTATGGTAGTGAGGTAGTCCAAGTAGAGCTAGCTACCTAGGCGGCTAGGCCTATCAGCGGCTGGCGGGGCCCCGGAGCCGATGTAACCCGACCCTGGATTCCCGGATCCTCCACCACCCATCGGATTATAAGCTCCAGACCCGTATATGTGCCCATGATGCTGACCCATCATCATGCCATACACACCACTCTCTCCGGCATAACCGCCCGCGCCACTTCCCGCATTCAATACACCGCCATTGCCGCCGCCGCCGCTGCTGCTCTCTCTCTCTTGCCGTCCAACCATGGCGGTTCTCTCCCCTTCCATGTCCCGAAACCTCTGCAGGTAACCCTTCAAGGGCTCCACGTAGTCTTCGAAGCCCAGCGTAGTCATGGCCCACAGCAAGTCGTCGCCGTTGACCGTCTTCCTCTTCTCTCGCTGGCACTTGTCCGATGCCTCGCCGGTGATGAAACTGATGAACTCCGACACGCACTCCTGAACCGTCTCTTTGGCGTCCTTCGAAATCTTCGCGTTCGCCGGGAGCGCCTTCTTCATGATACGGCTCACGTTCGCGATTGGGAGGAACCGGTCCTGCTCTCGCGGCGAGCTTTCTCTGTGCCCTCCCGATTCATTGTCAGAATCCGCCATTACCACAGAATTTGCGACTAAAACTTCAATAATGTTAAAAACCTTTTGAGTTTTGAAAACACAAAATTCAAATTCTGAATGAAGCAAAAGGCAATTCACTTGAAGTCCACTCTGTTAATAGAGGCTACTTGAAATTAAAGTCAACGATACACTGGAAATGAACTGAAAACGATGATAAAACTTAAGAATTGGCCAAAGAATATCACCGGAAAACTTCTCCGAAGAGTAAAGGTCGCCGGAGGGAGATTTGGAAGGCTATTGACTACTGAGTGAGGGAGAGGAAGCGGAGATTTTTATGAGGAGAAAAATTAGCACCGTATGATCAAATGCTATATAATAACGTGATCAAGAAAGACACGTGGGAGAACGTTGACCGTTCGAGATAGTTAATAATGATTTTTCGGGGAATGAGTTTACTCCGTCCGATCACTGTTGCTGTAGCGAAATCTGGACCATACATGTCGCGGTGTAACCGGATATTTTCTCTTGTTAAAGAGATGTTGTCGTGTGAACCCACCATCTATTATCTATTATCTATTATTCTTCCCAAACTCTATTATTATTATTATTATTATTATTATTACTACTATTATTATTGTTGTAGTCGTCATTTTTATTATATATATTAATTTAGTGTAAACTTAAAGCTTTGCTTTTGTACAAAAAAAAAAAAAAAAAAAAAAAGCTTTGCTTTGTACTTTTTAAATTATTAATAAAAATAAATTTTTTTTAAAGTGTCAATCAACAAGTGGTTTAATAGTAACCAATAGAGTTAATTATTGAGATGGTCCATTGACTTAGCGAAATTATCAATTTGGTTATTGATTATTTTTTTTTTTTGACCAATTAGGTCCCTCAACTTTAAAAATCTTAACCAATTTGGTCCTTCGATTATTTTTCCGTTAGACATCCGTTAACTCAGGACCAAATTGGTAATTTTGCTATAGTCAAGGGATCATTTCAGTCATCACATGCACCATTTTCTCTAAAAATTAATTACTGAAATTATCCATTGACTATAGCGATATTACCAATTTGGTCTCGAGTTAACGGATGTCTAGCGGCAAAACAAATGGAGAACCAAATTGGTTAAGTTTTTTAAAGTTGAGAGACTTAATTGGTCAAGAAAAATAGTCAAGGATCAAATTGGTAATTTTGCTATAGGCAATGGACTATTTCGGTAATTAACTCGTAACCCATATAACTAGATACATTTTGGGGGCGTTTGGTAAATAGTTGTTAGCTGATTGGGTTAGTGGGTTTGATTAGTTGATAGCAATAACTTATTGTAGAAAGATATTTGGTAAATTAGCTGTTAGTTGATAATTGATTACATGCAAAATGACTCTATCAAAAGACTAATCGAAAAAGCTGTTTTGAAATTTGAACAACTTTTTGAATTTTAGCGTTTTAGAGCAATAAAATGTTACGAAAAGCTAATTAACAAACAATTATATTGGATGTTTAACCAAATCAAACAACTAATTGTGGTCAAATAAGTCAAAATTGGCTGATAAGCTAACTATGTTACAAAATAGTGCATTTATGTTGTAGACTTGTAGTTGGTGTCAATAAATATTTTTTAAATTTAATACTTGAAACATGTTTTATTTACTGTTGGTTTTATGACTTTTAAACAATCAACGGCTGACCAACACAGCCGTTAAAATAACAAGTACATGAGAATATAGAAAATATGGGTATTGTATATTTGTATTGCTCAAAATTGATTGCATCTTTCCCATGGGGTCTATTTATATACATATTTTGGGTTATAAGTCTTACAAGGACTAGAAATTCTAGATTGCCACATATTCAGAGTCCTCATCATATTGAAATTGGGCTCTATACAAGATAGGCTCAATTCTTGGTACATTATGAGTAATAGATTTAATCCTATCAAAACTCATTCACGGTCGCCTCCTTCTTGGGCTTCTTTGATTCAATTCTTTTTTTTAGACTGATCCATTTAGTCAGCATGATACACCATTCGTCATTTATGTATGTTGGTTTTGAATTTTTTTAATGATTTATAATTAATTTTCTCACTTAGTACTTGTGAATAATATATGCTAACTACCCTAATTCTAAAAATATTCGGAATTTCATAAATTTTATTTGTTAATTAATCCCGAGTAGTATAGAAATAAATAAATTAACAAATGGTGAAAAGTTTATATATGATTGAGTAATATGTTAAATATAACCACGTTGCATATGAATCTTGCTATGAGTTTATATTCCATAGGCACAAATAACCCTCCAACCCTTTAAATATCCTAATACTAAAAGAGTTTTGTCCGGCCTACTATAGTACTACATCATTAACAATAGGAAAAAAAATATATATTAGTCAAGTTACTCATCACTTTCATGTGTCCTAATGAGCGCGTGCATAACACACAACCTATTAAAATATAGCATGTAACATTTTTCTATACACTTAATTTTACGAACAAGGTACAAAGTATATATACGTTGCTCTATAGTCTACACCTTATGTCTTTATCTCTCTTACCTATTCCCCAAACCATCTTTTTGTTTATGGGAGGAGATTTGTCCCTTCAAAAAGTACCATGTAGACATCTTTATGATTATAGATTTTTAAAATCAATTTATCATACCTAAAAATATAATGAAGAAAACAATTAATCAAAAAATTATTAACAATTTTAGTTAGATGTCATTTAGTAAATGGTGGGGTGGGATCAACTTATGTATGTGGTAACTGACTAATTGGACACATTTTTTATGTTTACATGTAAACTTTGTTATCAATCAATTAAATTGAGTGGTACAAATATGGTCTCACTAATAAGGCTAAGTTTATATTTATCAAACATTTTTCTTCATTATTTGATTTTTCTCACTGTCTTTCTTATTTGTTATAAAATTTTGATACTCTATAATAAGATAAAGTTACATTATTAAAAAAATATTTAGAATAGATTATTTAGGATATATATCTTTTTTCAAGCAGCAAAATCTTTGCTCTCAAAGTTTTGAACGTATTGAATTGGTGCATTTTTACAATTGATAATTCATATATTGAATTATATTAGCATATTGACAATTGAACTCTATTAGCACACAAAAAATGACAAAAATTATGAACATAACTTGAATTGGCATATATATATTTTTAGATATTATAAGCTCAATAGATTAAAGCTAGCGGTACAAATAGAAGTAATAAAAGTAGGGGAGTTAAAATTAACCAACAAAAAATCTCATATCACTTTCTTTGTTTTCAACTGGATTTGTTTCTTACTTTACTGCATTGTTTCATATATACTGCTTGATAATCTATTGAATCCACACGTAGATGCTTAGATAATTGCTTGGATCGTTTAACTAGGGCTGAGCATCGGACGGATCGGATGTCCAATCCGTCCATCCGATCGGATTTCGGATTTCTTTTGTACCCCCCTATCCGTTTATTTTTTTGGACAGATCCTATCAGATTGCTTAGGTTCGGATTTCGGATATCCGTTGTCGGATTTCGGATTGAAATCGGATATAATAAATTAAAATAAAACAAATTCTAAATTCAAAAAATTCTAAAATAGATAACAGTAATACTGAGTTTCATTACCATAGCGTAGCAACTAGCAAAACATACTACTATACAACTATAACAGTTTCAAACTAAGTTAATAATTACATATTTTCAACTAGCAAAACATACTACTAAGTTAATGATTATACAAAAAATCATAGACTTGAGCTGTCAGCACCGGTACTCTTCAGTTCTTCTTTCAGCAATTCAGCAAAATCAACACTAATATAGTCATCTAGATAATCTACTCTTCTTCCTGCTAGTATTCAAACTTAAAATGATATTAGTGTTTAGAGTTTAGAAAACAGACAATCAGACATTTAGAGTAACAATACTAAGCAATTATTCACTACGCTAAGTGGCTCAGAGTGCATTTTTCCATATCAAGTAAGAATGTGGGCAAATTGCTCTGAATGTGTTATATTAACACATTGGCAACATACCAACTCCATTCCATTTATTCAGACAATAGTGGAAGCTTCATCATAGCCACCAAATAAAACAAATACATTCAAACTGAAAACAGAGCAAGGAAGAGTTATACCATAATTCCAGAGTGCAGAGAAATGGGCAAAATTAGGCTCAACTCATCTAATGGCAGCAACAAATCAATAACAGAAAGTTGCCAAGCCACTTAGAGGCTAAACACCACTTGCAACAACATGAGTACATAACATAATATCAAACTCAGTAAAGAAATGAACACATTGTAAACTGATATTAAAAACATTACAGTGATTGTAGGCAACATTGATGGTATAGTAGATGAAGCTCCAGTGGGCAATTCTGCAAAAGTGAAAAACATAACAAGTAAGAAAGAAAGTGAAAAGGAAATAAACTTAGTATAATAATAAAAAAAAAAAAAAAGTAACTAAGAAAGTGATAAGTGTTACCTTTCTCTAATTTTTCAACCTCCTCCAGGTTCTCCTCAACTTGGATTGGCTGATTAGGTGCCCTCAACCAATCTTGAGTACATATTAGTGCTTCCACTATTTTAGGAGTCAAGGAACTCCTAAATGGATCAAGTACCCTTCCAGATGTACTAAAACAACTCTCAGAAGCAACTGTGGAGATATGAACTGCAAGGACATCTCTAGCCATTTTGGAGAGAATAGGAAATCTCTCACTATGGCTCTTCCACCACTTTAACACATCAAATGGGACAGATTCATCATCCTCCACAATACTTTCACTTAAGTATACTTGCAGCTCAGTTTGCTTACTGCTTCCACTACTTTCCAATCTCTTTTTTTAAGTTGGCTCTTCAAAGATGATTGAGGCCTACCAACTGTACAAGTAGTAGCCTGGTTAGCCTCACACTGGACTGCTTGAGTAGAGGATGCTGTCTGGGTAGAACTGAGAGAGTATGTAGCTGCATAGTCATCATATAAAGCAGCCATTGCAGATTGGACCTTGGTAAAATAAGCTTTGCCTTTCTCTTCTCCATACAACTGGACAAATTGATGAGGCATGTACTCCAACTTATCTCTGGGATCCAGAATATTGGCAAAAAAAATGATAGAGTTCATTTTTTCTGGATCCCCCCAATATTTGTCAAACTTGTTCCTCATTTGTGTCCCCATTGCCTAAAACAAAAAAAAAAAAAACAATTTATTAGTTAACAGAATTACAGGAAATACAAAAAACAATAAGCAAACAAATTGAAAGATAAATGAGATTACCTTTTCAGTCCCCTGCTCAGAGTTCACCATATCTTCAAGCATGCAACTAAGATCAGAGATCTCAGAGAAGAAT